AAAACTATATAACAAATGAGGATATAAATTAACAACAGTGAAAAAACTCCAGACTTAGTTATTAAATGATGGAATTGGGTAATTAAAAGAAGATAAGTTTCCTTTAATGGAAGTATTTTTGAAAAACACATGTTTGAGTTTAGGTTCTTTTTTGAATGACAGACTTTGCAAATATCTGTGTAAGAATTGCAGAAGAACTCACAGCCAGGAAAGGGTAAGAACTGAAGTACATTAGTTTATCATTTAAGTTTGGTAGCCACCAGCCTCATGTAGCTGTTGAGCATTTAAAATATGGCCAGCCTGAATTGAGATATGCTGTAAGAGAAGAGTACAAAAAAGAATAACATGTTTCACTAATAATTGTAAATGTATGTTGAAATAATAACACATTTTATCTCTTATATTAGATAAAATGTTGTTAAAATGAATTTCATTTGTTTCTTTTTACTCTTGTTTTTAAACATTTTTTTAGTTGTAGATGGACACAATACCTTTATTTTGTTTATTTTTATGTGGTGCTGGGATAGAATCTAGTACTTCACGCATGCTCAGCAAGCACTCTACCACTGAGCCACAACCCCCGCCCTCTTTTTACTCTTTTAATGTGGCTACTAAACAAATTTAAATTAAATGTGTGACTTGCATCATTTTTCTACTAGATAGTGCTGGTCTAAATCCTCATTGACTGGTTCTGGGCAAACTAACCCTTAAACAGTTAGGCCTTTTAACTTCAGATATTGAGGTTGAGACTGCTACTCCAAGGCCAACAATGTCAAGAATTGTTCCTTTCTTTAATTTTATATATATATACCCCAGTTTGTTTGTATCCATGGTCAAATAAGCTTACTGCAAAACTATGGCACTCTGTAGCTATTATCTGATTTTCAACAGGTATGAAGAGTTCTGCTATTAAGAACAAATGGTAATAAAATGAATAATAAAAATACTTTCTGGGAAAAATATTTTTCTCCTGAAAATTAGTTTTAAGACTAACCACCTGAAACAGCTTCCCTAAACCATCCCTTATTTGAGAGACAGCCTGATAGGCAGACCGTGGACACATAGTTGCTTTACTTCTTAGGAAATTAGTAGGAGTTCTAATACTGTATATCGGGTTGATTTAATATAGACACATAATTAGATGCAAGGGCATGAAAGATAGAAATAGATGATTCAAAAATCATTTTAAGTATGATTCAAAAATCATACTAAGGAGGCTAACGCAGGAGGATTCTCAGCAACTTAGTGAGACCCTGTCTCAAAATTTAAAAAATAGGGCTGGGGCTGGGCTTAGCAATAGTGCACTTGCCGGGCATGTGTGAGGCACTGGGCTTGATTCTCAGCACCACATAAAGATAATAGTCTATCAACAACTAAAATAAAAATATTTTTTAAAATAAATTTTTAAGGACTAGGGACATTTCTCAGTGGTAGAGTGCCCCTGGGTTCAATCCCAAGTACTGAAAAAATTATTTTAAAATATCCCTGAGAGTATATAAAATAAGAAAATATGAGAGACTAGAGAGAGTTACCACTTATTAGTCTGTAACAAATCAGCACTTCAAAACAGAGATGGCAACTGGATTACATCACTCACACATATATTTTGTGCTAAAATTATATTTTGTGCTAAATTATTATCATCTGCTTTCAAATTTCTTCTTACTCTGCCCCATGAATTAATTTGTAGACAAATAGTAGTTTTAGTTTGGGATACATCACATTTACGATACGATACATCAGCATGGAGTTCATCTCTCTCTCTCTCTCTCTCTCTCTCTCTCTCTCTCTCTATATATATATATATATATATATATATATATATATATATATACACACACACACACATATATACAATATCTTTAATATATTTTAATTGTAGAAGGACACAGTACCTTTATCATTTTTATGCAGTGCTGAGGATTGAACCCGGACCTTCAGAGGAGCTAGGCAAACACTCTGCCACTGAGCTACAACCCCAGCCCTATTTTATCTTTAATTTATATTCACATTTAAAAGCAATGTTTTTGAGTCTAGTATCCTAGGAATCTTATAGTTAAGATGCACATATAATGTAGTTTTGTTTTTTAAATTGTGCTTTTCTCTTTGAGCTATTTAATTGATACTTGAATTATGGAAAACAGTACCACAGTTAACCTAAATATAAGCCATCTTTTGCGTCATTGTCCCTATCCTTTCAAATATATTTTTATGTTGTTGGGTTTTGTGCTATCCAGTCAGTGTTCTGATTTTAGTCCCCAAAATGTCATATCCAGTGACATTTAAATAACTTTAGTCTTTGAAGGCAGAGCCCCCAGCAATTCTGCCTTTGTTTGGAGAATGGATGGGTGATAAGACCAGACCAAGAGCTTGTTCAGCTGTTTACCAAGCAGAAATGTGAGGCTCAAGTGGTGGTGGGGGTTCTTTAGAACATCCATTTCTACTTGCAAGCTCTCAGTGTAACAAAAGCTTCACAGCAGATGGTGAGTGTGAGAATTGAAGCAACTGTAGTTACATGCAACCAGCAAAATAGAAAATAAACCCAAAAGAGGAAAAGAGATTGGTTTTCATTGTGGCAAACACTAAATACGTTTACTTCATGACTCCAGTGTCAGAGCATTGAGTGCTTTTGATCAGAACAGAGACAGAGATGAATGGAAAGAGAATAACTAATGTGAAAACAGAAGGTATGAGAAGGTGACTTCTAATAAAATGAGAAGCTAGAGATAAACATAAAAATGGGTAATAAAACTCCTAAGAAGCTATTCATAGAATCAGGAGGCAGAACATTCTTGAAGAGAGAGAAAAAAGTGTTCAGGCATCTGATTGATGTTGTCTGGCTCAACCAGGCCCTCCAGCACACTTGTTAAAAGCCTTCCTCATGGTTATGACTTCCCTGCACAAACTCCACAGCTGCTTCATACCCTCCTCTCCTGCAGAGCCTTCCCAGTGGATTTTGAACACATTTTTCCTGTGTCTCTGATCTCTTCTTTTGCAGTGAACATGGAGCCCCCAGCTCACATTCACCCCCCTTAATCTCCTGCCCCCGTGTGTTATGCTCCATGGGCCTCTCACATCTGGCTTCTCATTTGAATCTTATCAGTGCTCTTTGAAACTGATTTAGTAAACTCTGCAGGTACCTATCACCATCTCCATTTCATTGGCTATAAGGAAGACATTTGCAGAAGTTAATAGCCTGCAGGTGGAGGGACAAAGGCAGTACTAGCACCAAGTTTTCTGACTTTCAATCCCATAGACTTTGTATCCTTGCCACTTACTGCCACACAGAGTACTTCCTTTACAACTACAGCAAAAGCAGACAAGCAAAATATGTTTTGACTTTGCTATTCCTTTTTTACTGCCAGAATTTTCAAATAGGATCATGTCCAAACCCATGGCACAGCATAGTGGAAGGACTACTGACTTTGGAGTCAAGCAGGTCAGGGTTCAAAGCCTATCCCTTTGATAGCCATGTGACCTCGAACATGTTTCCAAACCTCAGTTTCCTTACTGTAAGGTAACTACCTCACAGGGTTGTTGCAATGTTAAATGACAGAGACTATACTGATTAAGTAGCCTAGTGAGTAGCATGATAAATTTTAATTTATTATTAGATGATTGTATCCTGCATACTGACTTTGACCCTGAACTTTTCATAGAACTTGATACAGCCCAAAATGCTCATGACCTTCTCTGGTTGAATCTTAAGGCCTTTTCACAGCTTTCAGCCTTCTCTACCCACATATGTCTTTACTGCCTTTATTCCCTTGACTTTCTTAATATCATATTATTGATTCCTCCTTTTCCAGTGGTTTATATTTTGTCTACTTTACTACCTTCTTTTTCCTCATACTACCCTTATGTATGTAAGTCTTCTGAGGTTCCATTTATAGCAATTGCTCTTGTTGACAGACAAAGTTGAATTAATAAATCAGAACAGAAATCATATTATCATATTTTGCTTTGAGCAACACATCCTTAGTGTTCCTTGTTTCTTCCTTACTTGTCTCCTTTCTACTTTTAAATATAAAAACATCACACTGAACTTGATTCATCAGTAAACAGGCAAAGCCCACTCCTGTAAGCACTGGAAGGCTTTAATTATCTTATTCCATGTAGACATGGCAAGTGATGCTTCTGCCCAAACTGTTTCAGTGAGATGATGATGATGTTAACAATTTTGCTTTCCAAATAGTATTACAGAGTTTAAGCAGCAGTGTCACATACATTATCTGAATTTGTTCTTCAGAATTATACTGTAAGGCAGGTAGATCCTTAATTATCCAACACATTTTATAGATGTAAAAAAAAAAATCCTAGAGAAACAATTCTGGGCTGGGGGTGTAGCTCAGCTACAAACCCCTAGCATGCACAAAGTCCTGTGTTCAATCCTCAGCATTGCAAGAAAGAAAGAGAGGGAGAGAGAGAGAGAGAGAAAGTTAGTTCGATTGATTCTGACTTTGACTCTAGGACTAGTGCCTTCTTTGTTTAAACCATACTATTTTTTGCTCCCTATTCCAGGTAACTTTGCTGATATATTTGTAAATCTTAGATTTTAGGCTAAACAATAGACAGTACATTCTTATCTGAGAGGAAACTAAAAAAGAGATAAAATAGTAATTTAAGGTACCTATTGGTAGATTGAGGAAGAGTTATAAATTTGGAAACTGAAACTTGATTACCAGAATTTGGGGAAGTATTTATTTGTGTGTTTATTTTACTTTGGAGCAAAGTATTTATTTGTACTAAGAAGTGTAAATGTGTTCTTAATAAGAGCTGACTCGTGTAATGTATATAGATTTAAGCTGATAAAAATTATGAAATGTTATATTGTCAAATATTTTAAAGGATTAAAAGTTAAGCTTGATTTAAGTGGGGAATTTCATCTCTTTAGTTAGAGAAGTCTTCATGTTACCATAGACCACATCATTCACTCATCATTCACTCTAATTGTCTTGTGTTCCTACCCTAATGAAGTATGTTGTATGTTTGTTTTGCAGATCTAAAGCGGGAAGCCAGTATCTGTCATATGCTGAAACATCCACACATTGTAGAGTTATTGGAGACATATAGCTCAGATGGAATGCTTTACATGGTTTTTGAATTGTGAGTGTAAATTTTATTTCTTAAGGAGTAAAATTTTAAGCAACATTGGTTTTAGAAAATACTAACAATTTTCTCTTCAACTTTAGCAATAATTGTGACCTCATCTGTTTAGAAAGACCCGAAAGCACAGGGAAAAAAGGATTATTTCATCTTAAGGTTCATGACAAAGGAAGCAAAAGCTGGGTGTATTTGGTTATCCTCACACTTTTAAGCACACTTCAGAGAAGAGGCTCCAAAAGGAAATAGAATTCAGAGGTAAATAAGAGGCCCCAAAATGTGCAATTCTGACCAGGAGGTCAGTCTGAGGTGAAGAGTAGGATGAAGGTGGAGGCTTCCATGTAGCAAGTCTCCCTGGCAACTTAAAATGAGCAATAACAGACAACTTCTTCTTTTGATATAATCACTACATTGACAAATGAGGGAAATTCTGTGGCTAATAGTGTATCTTGATTTCAGTAAGGTCCTTGACGTGTTACTCACAAAATTTTTATGAGTCAGAGAAATGTGAGCTAAGGATAGTACAACTGAGTATCCCATAGCTAGTTGGATGATTGTCCAAAGAGATTTATGGGACAGCATACTACAGGGTTTTGTTTTTACCCTATTCTGTTCAGAATTAATCAGTAACTTTGGTCAGGAAAATTAAAAAGGAAGATATACATGCTAAACATTCAAAAGATACCAAGGTTGGAGAGTGTATTCATTAGCTATGACTTCATAGCAAATCATAGCCAAAAACTTAGTGGCTTAAAACAGCACATGCATTATCTCAGTCTCTGTGTGTCAAGAATGTGAGCACCATTCAGGTGGGTCCTTTAGCTCTAGGTCTCTCACAAGGTGGTAACCACAGTGTTAGCCAGAGCCAAAGCCATTTTCAGTTTTCACTGGAGAGAGGGGGTTAGTTCTTCTTCCAAGCTCACTTACATGGTTGTTGTCAGTCTTCAGTTCCTCTTGGATTCTTGAACTGAGGGTCTCAGTTCCTTAAGAGCTGCTGGCTTCAGGTGTTCCTTGGTTCCTTGTCACATGGGCCTTTAAATCAATATGGCCAGTGGCTGCATCAGAGCAAGCAAACAAGCAAGAAGAAATGGGAGGTAGAAGTCACAGACTTATAACGTAGTCTCCAAAATTATATACCATCACTTCTGCCTTATTCTCCTAGTTACAAACAAGTCAGTAGGTCCAGCCCACATACCACCACCTGAATACCAGGAGATAGGAATCTCTAGGAAGCATTTCACAAACTGCCCCCCACAGAGAGCTAGCTGACACATTAGTGATCTATACCAAAACTCAAAAATAGTTTAAAAGCTTGTAGTCAAGGAGCTGAAACAAAGAAAGTGAAATTTAAGACCAGATAATATAAACTCCTTCATTCAAATATATAAGTGCAAGACAGGTGTGAATTTAGTTGTGACTACTTAATGCGAAAAAGATGTTAATGTTTTACTTAGTTGTTTGCAATAGCTAAAAAGCCCTGAATGGAATGTTAGGTTACATTAATGAGAAGTAGATAATATTCTGAACAGAGCCACACTCCCAACATATTATACACTGCTTGTTCTCCCCGGAGTGTCTGTAGTAAGCAGGACACAGGAATATTTACAGAAGGGTATAACCAGAACGAAAAGGAGCCTGGAGATTCTCTCATAGAGTCATGGCCTTCAGTCTCTTTGCCAGCAAACCTACTAACAGAATTTTGAAAAACCTAGATGCCCTTCTCACATGTTTTTAAGTTGGTATATAAAAATTTTTATTGCAAGAATATAATTTTTAGTGTCTTGGATTTTCCTTTAAATATATTTCCTTCACAACTGCAGAGCTGCACATTTATCTCATTTGCTTTATGGGAAGTGTCTGCTATGTGACCTACATGGCTAAAGCTAGTCCTCGTTGTCAAATCACTCAGCCAAATCAGACTCACTTTTCTGTCAGAAAAAAAATCCGACTTCATTTTTCAAATAAAATTAAAGTGTTAATAGACATCCCAATGACACTCCTCTTACTATTGATTTTGAATTCTAAAATAGATCAGGCTTTGCTATGAATATGTTATCTGGATGAAATATGGTGACATCTCCTTTTCTTTCTCAAATTTTCTTTGCTCCCAGTTGTGTCTCCCTCCCACAGGAGCTGTGTATTCCCCAACTGTCTCTTTGAAGTTAGACAGGCTTTTCAGGATAGGGAAGCAGTTGGTCTTTGGAGATAACTGATTGCAGATGTGGAGATGTGAAAGGAAAACTAGATTCATTTTCAAGTAGACTGTTATAGCAAATGAAGATGTGGAAATCAATTGCCTTAAAATATACTAGTTCATGTGTTTCCAGGAAGGACTTTGAGTACTCCCAGATATACCTGAATCCCAGGTTGAAGACCCACTGGCATGGAAGAGCTCTTGAAAACACTAGAGGCTTTAGTTCCCCAAGAATTTATTGGTTTTCTTATTCTACTAAGAGTCCCCAGCACAGAAAGCCATAGGTATAACATACTTAATGTTTTCAGTTATTTGAAAGATCATTATGTATAAGATTATATGCTTAATCACTATAACATCACAAGCCATAAGCAGAATCAACAAGTGGCAGATTTCACCTCTAAGAAGACCTGTAATGGTTACATGTACTCCTTCCAAGGGGACAAAGATAGGTTTTACTTTTGGTTTAGAGAGGGACTCTGCTGTGCCTTCCAATTTTAAGATATTGTAATTCTTTCAGAATGACTTTTCTGGTTTAATTTTATTCTCCATTGAATAAATCTGTTTCTGTCCATATTTTTTTCTCTGAGAAAAGCAAAAGCAGATTTATTCATATACTTTAAAGTAATGAGCACAGAAAGCAACATTTAAAAATTCACCTGATTTCTACCATGTTTACTGTTTGTATCAAAGGGGTATAAATGACAGAGTAGTGGAGAGAAGATGATCTTTGGTGTCATAAAATGGGTTTTAGTTTCTCAGTGTTAAGCAGTCTCTTTGAGATATTTATAGTCAATTTTGTGTGATGCAGGTGTGACTAAAATAATTCAATGGCTATACATTGAGATAAGAACTCATTAAAGTTGGATATTTACCAGTAAATTATCCAAATTAATCCTAATTTAATCCAGATTACTAGAACATTGTTTGGTATTACATTTTTTAATACATTTTTACTTTATTTTGTAAAGTGTCAAATAAAGAGATTATAGTATAATCAATGCCAGCATCCTAGCCTTTGAGTTCAAAATATTTTGCCATTCCTGTTCAAGCTATCTTTCACCCCTGAAAGATTTCTAAAGCAATGTCACTTCTCCTATAAATACTCCTGTTTGTGCTTCTAACAGATAAGGACTTTAAAAAATGATCATAATAATATTATCATATCTTAACAAATCAATACTATTTCCTTAATGCCATGTCATATTCAGTTGCTGCTCAATTTTCCCTGATTGAACATGAATCTTAAATGATAAATTTCTCAATTTAGAATTGTTTTATGAGCTCTAGGGATCTAGAAGGAGATTGTAAAGTCACAGTTAAAATAACTTATATAGAAATATAAAACCTTCTTTTTGTACCATTGTTTTATAAATTCACCTCAACATTTGCCCTCACCCAATTTTTTTGCATTCTCCTCAACTCCTAGTTTCAAACCAACAGACCCAAAACATTGATTACTGTGATTTAAAGTCATGTTGATCAAAGAGCAAAACCAAAAAACTTGTGTGCACCTCCACCTACTGGCTAGGTGAGAGATTGCTTCTATAGCTGCATTCTAAGCTAAGCTACTCTAGAATTGGTTCCATGTTCCTGATAATAGATGTCATTTTCCCCAGTATTCAAGGGCTCATTGCTAAGGTTATGAGTGGCCTAGACTTGTTTCCAAGTTTTCTACCATGACACTATTACAGAGTAGACAAGGAAAAGTAAAACGAATAAAATTAGACTAGTTAACTTTGCTGTTTGTTGGCTGCTTGTAAAACCACTCTTATCGTTTATGTGGACAAAAGGCTAGACAGAACAACATATTTTAATTATCAGCAAGTTTCTTAATACGGTATCCATGTCTGTCTTTACTATAGACTATGTATAAGCAACCCTCCTTTTCTCTTCCTAAATGAAAGTCATGAAGTTGTATGACTCAATCATGTTGTTTATTTGTTTAAAAAAAAATCCTTAGAATGAGTTGATATTCACTTAGTTACAGTTAATAAGTTTAAAGCATACTTAAATGCAGGGACTCACAGAGCTAGAATGTTCAAGCTGGAAAAGATGATTTCAAAACTTAGATTATAAAATCCTGTGGAGAAATTGTTAGACAACATGTACCCAGGCTCTGTCCATACGTAGACTTTCAGTTTCAGCAGATACACGTCCTGAAAGCACAGATCTAGAGGACTGACCTTCAAAGTAGGGCCAATACTACTTAGAGATTTCTTTGTCATTTCCCCCAATACATACAGTAGTTAGACATCTGCATGTGTTTGCATTACATCCATTTCTTTGGGATTACATTTAAATTGGAACCTGTCTGTAGCAATTTGCTGAAATGTATTTTAAAATACAGGTTCCATTTTGAAGACAGGACCGAGTTATATTACTTCCCCAAAATTAAATGTTTATTTCTAAGTAACACATTCAGGCTTGTCTTTAGTAGTGTCTGGTACTTGAGTTAAGCTGTAAATCCTAAATTGGCTGGCTAAGGAATTTTAATTACCTTATTATAGAATGATTACATATACCACAGGGAGACTTTTACAGTAATTAAATATGGATTTAAAATATATCTGACATGAAAATAATAGTTTGTATCTCTTAAAATATTATTAGTAATTTGTGTTTTTGAAGCCAATAAAGGATATAATAGACTGAAACTGCTTCTATTTATTTTTTACTTTATTTTTTGTCAGATATTTATGCTTGTAGAAGGGAGTATTTGTGAAATTCATTTATATTGATAGAGTGGAAATGACTATTACTTACCAGCAAATTTGCCACTTAAGGGAAAATATGTCTGTCTCAAATC